ATCACAGAGCCATCTTGAAGGCGTCCTAGGCGATCTTGAGGCGATCTTGGGGGCCTCTTGGGCCGTCTTAGGCTGTCGGAAGGACGAACAGAAACACATCCCGAAATCTATCAAACAACCAAGGACAACCAATGATTTTGGCCTCTTCGGGATCTCCTGGAGGACGTCCAGGAGGCATCTTGGCTCATCTTGGAAGCATCTTGGGGCCGCCTGCCTTGTTTGGAAGCGCCTATGTGGCCGAAAGTTGGGCCAGAGCTTGCCCAAACTATTAGACTATGTGTTTCCCGAGTCGTTGTGGAAAGCCTTCGGGGAACACAATGGAGAGGAAGAGGAGGAGGGGGAGGACCAGGAAAAAGGAGGAGGAGGAAGAGGAGGAGGAGGAGCAGGAGGAGGAGGAGGATGAGGAGGAGGCCTCTTAGAAGCCTCTTAGGGCACGCTTGGGGCCTCATAGGAGCTTCCTGGGAGCCTCTTGGAGCCTCTTGGGGCCCTCCTTGGTAGCCGTCTTAGGGCGTTCCTTGCCTGCCGGACGCCGCCGGACGCCGTCTTGGGGGCCTCTCTGGGTCGTCTTGGGGCTCTCTTGGGGCACTTCAGGGCCGTCTTGGAGGCCATCTTGGGCGTCTTGGAGGCCGCTTGGGCCGTCTTGGGGCCCTCTTGGGGCTGTCTTGGGGGCCCCTTGGGCCGTCAGGGGGCCATCATGGAGGCCTCGTGGGCGATCTTGGAAGCCTCTTGGGCCGTCTTGAGCCGTCGGAAGGCCGAAAAGAAGCAGATGTCAAAATCCTTCAAAAACGAAGGACAATTGATGATTTGGGCCTCTTCGGGCCCTTCTGCAGGACCTTTTGGGAGGTCTCTTGGGCTGTCTTGGAGGCCTCTTGGGGCCCTCTTGGGCCGTCTTGGGCCATCTTGAGGCCATCTTAGGCCGTCCTGGGGGCATCTTGGGCCGTCTTGGAGGTATTTTGGGGCCATCTTAGCCGTGTTGGAGGCCATCGTGGCCGTCTTGGAGCCATCTTGATCTTGGCCGTCTTGGACGCGACAGGGGGAACCACCTGGGCATTTTCCGGATTGTCCTGGACCCTGGCAGGACGGGCCGAAGCAGGGGGAGTTCTTTTGGAAAAAGAACCAAAACCGAAAACGAAAGGGTTCATCACGCCAGGCACCCCTGCGATGAATCAACAGGGGGCGGCGGATCGAAGACGCTTACGGCGAATCACCGCCGCCCCCTGCCTTTTTGGAAGTGCCTATGTGGCCGAACGTTGAGGCCAGACCTGCCAAGCAATTGGACCATGTGTTCCCCGAATCGGTTTGGAAAGCCCTCGGGGAACACGTGGGCATCTTGAAGGTCATCTTGGCCGTCTGGAGGCCATGTTGACCCTTTCGGGCCTTCTCGGAGGACGTCTTGGAGGGCTCTTGGGCCGTCTTGGAGGCCTCTCGGGGCCGTCTTGGGGGCCTCTTGGGCCGTCTTGGGAGCCTCTTGGAGCCGTCTTGGGCGATCTTTGGGGGCACTTGGGCCGTCTCGGGCCGTTGGAAGGCCGAACAAAAAGCAAATGCCACAATCCTTCAAAAACATTCGGGAAATTAATGATATTGGCCTTCTCGGGCCTTCCTGGACGCCCTCTTGGAGGCCTCTTGGACCTTGGGCCATCTTAAGGCCATCTTCGGCCGTCTTGGTGGGCTCCTGGCCCGTCTGACGCCGTGGGAAGCCGTTTGGGGGGTATCTCTGGGCCGACTTGGGGCCCTCTTGGAATGCTCCGTGCCGTCTTGGAGGCCATCTTGGGCGTCTTGGAGGCCTCCTGGGCCGTCTTGGGGGCCTCTTGGGGGCCTCTTGGGCCGTTCTGGGGCCATCTTGGAGGCCGTCTTGGGCGATCTTTGGGCAATATTTGGGGGCTCTTGGGCCGTCTCGGGCCGTCGGAAGGCTGAAAAGAAGCACATGCCAAAATATTTCAAACACCTAAGGAACATACGTGTTTTTCGCTTTTCGCCTGGCCTTCCTGGAGGCCTCTTGGAGGCCTCTTGGGCCGTCTTGGGCCAGCTTCGAGCCAACTGCGGTCATCTTGGTGGGTTCCTTGCACATCTGACGCTGTCGGGAGCCGTCTTGGGGGCCTCTCTGGGCCGACTTGGGGCCCTCTTCGGGCGGTTCGGGGCCGTCTTAGAGGCCATCTTGGGCGTGTTGGAGGCCTCTTGGCCCGTCTTGGGGCCCTCTTGGGGCCGTCTTGGGGGCCTCTTGGGCCGTGGTGGGGCCATCTTGGAGCCCTCTTGGGCGATCTTTCGGCGTTCTTGGGGGCCTTTTGGGCCGTCTTGGGCCGTCGGAAAGCCGAAAAGGCGCAAATACCAAACTCCTTCAAACACCAATGGAAAATCAATGATTTTTGCCTCTTCGGGCCTTCCTGGAGGACCTCTTGAAGGCCTCTTACTCGGGCCGTCTTGGAGGCCTCTTGGGTGCCTCTTGGGCCGTTTTGGGGCATCTTGATGCCATCTTAGGCCGTCTTGGGTGCATCTTGGGCCGTCTTGGAGGCATCTTCGGGCCATCTTAGCCGTCTTGGAGGCACTATTGGCCGTGTTGGAGGCCATCTTGGAGCCGTCTGGAACGAAACAACCCTTTGCAACCACCTCTGGGTAATCTTTCGGCATCTTTTCAGGTGGCCGGCGGGACGGGCCGAAGCCCCAAGGGGAGTCCTTTTGGAACAAGAGCCAAAACCAAAACCGAAAGAGTCCAGCACGCCAGGTACCCCTGCGATGAATCGACAGGGGGCGGCGGATCGAAGACGCCTACGGCGAATCACCGCCGCCCCCTGCCTTTTTGGAAGCGCCTATGTGGCCGAACGTTGAGGCCAGACCTGCCAAGCTATCGGACCATGTGTTCCCCGAATCGGTGTGGAAAGCCTTCGGGGAACACGTGGGCATCTTGAAGGTCATCATGGGCCATGTTGACCCTTTCGGGCCTTCGTGGAGGACGTCTTGGAGGGCTCTTGGGCAGTCTTGGAGGCCATCTTGAGCGTCTTGGAGACCTCTTGGGCCGTCTTGGGGGCCTGTTGGGGCCGTAACCCATGGGACATCAATGATTTGGCCTTCTCGGGCCTTCCTGGACGCCCTCTTGGAGGCCTCTTGGGCCATCTTAGGGCCATGTTCGGCCGTCTTGGTGGGCTCCTGGTCCTTTGACGCCGTCGGAAGCCGTTTTGGGGGCCTCTATGGGCCGATTTGGGGCCCTCTGGGAATGCTCCAGGGCCGTCTTGGATGTCCATCTTGGGCGTCTTAAAGGCCTCCTGTGCCGTCTTGGGGGCCTCTTGGGGCCCTCTTGGGCCGTTCTGGGGCCATCTTGGAGGCCTCTTGGGCGATCTTTCGGCGATCTTCGGGGGCTTTTGGGCAGTCTCGGGCCGTCGGAAGGCCGAAAAGTAGCAAATGTCAACAGCCGTCAAACACCTTAGGCAAATCAATGTTTTGGGCCTCTTCTGGCCTTCCTGGAGGCCCTCTTGGGTGCCTCTTGGGCCGTCTTGGGCCAGCTTCGAGCCAACTTCGGCCATCTTGTTGCACGTCTGACGCCGTCGGGAGCCGTCTTGGGGGCCTTTCTGGGCCGACTTGGGGCCATCTTAGGGCGTTCTGGAGGCCATCTTGGGCGTCTTGAAGGCCATCTTGGGCGTGTTGGCGGCCTCTTGGGGCCGTCTTGGGGCCGTTCTGGAGGTCACTTGGGCCGTCATGGGGCCCTTTGGGGGGCCTCTCGGGCGATCTTGGGGGCCTCTCTGGCCGTCTTGGGCCGTCCGAAAACCGAACAGGCGCAAATGCCAAAATCCTTCAAACACGCAGGAAGCTGCTTTTTCGGGCCTTCCTGGAGGCCGTCTTGGAGGCCTCTTGGGCCGTCTTGGAGGCCTCTTGCGGGCCTGTTGGGCCGTCGTAGACTATCTTGAGGCCATCGTGGGCCGTCTTGGAGGCATCTTTGGGCCATCTTAGCCGTCTTGGAGGCCATCTTGGGCCGTCTTGGAGACCATCTTGGGCCATCTTGGCCGTCTTGGACGCCATCTTGGGCCAACTGGAGGAAACATAGGCACGACGGACGCGTTTTGAGATCCTTTCCGGGTGGCCAGCGGGACGGGCCGAAGCCCCAGGGGGAGTTCTTTTGGAAGAAGAACCAAAGCCAAAAGCTACATAATTCGGCACGCCAGGCACCCCTGTTGCAAGCAACAGGGGGCGGCGGATTTGGTGGCATTCGGTCCATCCCGCCACCGTGCCTGGGCTGTGGCTCAGAAGCTTCTTGGATTTGCGGTGGGATCTCGTGAGAAGCGTCGCTGGGGCCTTCCCGAGGCAGTTTGGCCGCCTCTGGGGGGCTGTTGTGGGGCCTCTTGGGACCTTTTTGGGGGCTCTTGGGGGTCTCGTGGGGGCCTCTGGAGGGCCTCTTGGGCCATCCTGGGAGGTTCTTGGGGCGGAGAGCCAGAATTTTCAGTTCGTGGTCCCCTTCTTGGGCCCTTCTTGTGGCCTTCTTGGAGGCCTCTTGGGCTGTCTTGAGGCCCTCTTGAACCGTGTTCGGGCCGTCTTGGGCCGTCGTGCGACCTTCTCGGGGGCCCGACGGGCCGTCTTAAGGCGGTCTTGGGAGGCCTCTGGGGCCGTCGTGGAGCGTCGGAAGCCTGAAAAGGCGAGACCGATTCCGACTCCCGGGGGAGGGTTTTGGGGAGGGGGAAGCATCTCACACGCCGATGAACCCCAAGGGGTCGGCGGATCTTCGCGCCAGGAAGTTGACCCTTCCCCTCCCCGGTGTTGCTCTCTGTCCAGGGCGGCTGTATTTTTCCATGTGGCAGGGCTTACCACCCAGACATCCGACTCCCCCATGTCTGGACCCCGTCCAGGTGACCAGCTTTTCACCTCGAGTCGTCTTCTCTTGGCCCTGGGCACCCTGCGGGCCCCGGGAGGTCGACGAGTCGCCAGGGCCTTCCGCCGTGGTGTGTTCACGACGCGAGGATGCCTGGGCTGTGGCGAGGCTGGGGTCCTTCTCGTTCCCCCCTCGTCTCCCTCGGCAGGTGTTCTTCAGCGTGCTCCTCGGCGCCGACGCCCTGGAGCCGTACATCGGGCATCTCAGGACCGCCGCCGGGGCCCGGGCGGGCAGCCCGGGCAGGGCGGCCGTGGGCAGGCCCCGGCTTCCCATCGGTGCGATCGAAGTGCGTGTGCGTAGATCGGACGTGGATGACGACAGGGAGTCGCCTGCCGCAGTCGGTTTGGGGCAAACTTTGCGGGTGGGCAGCGTGCCCATTGTTTCAGTACCCATGCTGTCGTGCGAGTCCGACGCCGCGGTGCGCTCGCGCGACGTCTGGCGTCCTCATTTTCCTCCCACACGTCCCTTCCTACGGTGCCGATGTTTTCTTTGTCCGCCGACGGGTGTCCTGGCGGAACCGGTTCCCAACATCTATCCATCGTGTGATGGGCAGTCGAAAAGAGACTGTGCACACTGTAGGAGGAGGGTGTGGCGGCTGAGCCGGAGGATGACCACCAGGAAGGGGATGGTGAGGAGGACGGAGGGGGCGGCAATCACGAGGAAGGAATCGGATAGTCTAGAAGTGTGGCCCGCTCTAGGGCGAGAGTGCCATTCTGAACGACGGGAGCAAAGCGCCCGCCCTGAAATGTTGCCAAGGCTGCAGCGGGAATATCACTTCTGAGACGAGTAGTTATGTGGAGTACGCGGGCGAGAACATAAACAGCATCAGGGACGAGAACAGAGTGGTGTAGATTGAAGAGTTGTGCAGGGCAACCGAGGAGAAGGACGAGGAGAGCGCAGACCGACCCAGGCATCTGACGTCTTGAAGAAGCCAAGATGAATGGATTTGCATGCTCTTGGTGCCTTCCGAAAGCGACTCGGGATGAAACATGATGAGAAGTCGGTCCCTGGGAAGGGCTCGAAGCTAGACGTCGGATGTCTGGGTTTTTCAAGGCCCAGTCGCGAGTTACCCTTCACCTGCCAAGATTCATAGTCGATTCTGGCCAGTTTGACACGTTTTGAGCTCGACTTCCGATGACCCGATGTTACCCGGTGCCTGCTCGAAGATGTTGTGCATCCTTGCGCGGCCGACTCGATCCGATCTCGACTCCATGCTGATGCAGTTGGACCCGAGGTGCGTTCCCAGACATTGGCGCTGCGATGTTGTTCGATGCGTGGGCCTGACGCCAGCGTCAAGAGCCAAACAGTGGCGACAAACCAACCGTTTCGACTTTCATGCTGTTCGAGGCTGCGATTTCTTCAGCGCCCCCCCGATCTGATGACTCGATACCGTCTGTTGGGAGCCGCCCATTCGGCAGCAATTCTTGGGAGCCTTGCATACCCTCTTAATTCCGCCTTTAGCGTGGGCTAGTGTCGATTTGCGTCTGGCAGTCGATGAGATCGCGCCGACTTAGCGTTGACCAGCGTGGTTCATGGGAGGATCCCTTTCGGTGGTTCAAAGATGGGATTCTGAGGGATGGGAGCCTGAGGATAGGAAGGGATCCAAGGGTGGACGACGTTGTCTGAGGCACCTCGTGCTCTGGACCCCATCCCTTACGAATAGGGGAACGAACAAAGACATCCGCGCAGGGGCCCCCTGGCAGCGCCTCTGGCGCCGCCCCTGGCGCGCTCCGCGCGTCAGGGAGGGGGGTCCAGCGCGGATCCGAGAAATCCGCTGTGTTTATGCCGTGTTTCGTTCTCCTCACGCATCCATCTTTGAGCCACCGACCCGTGAGCTGCCACGGGATGCGCAGGCCGTCCGCGGCGCCCCCTCCGCAGCTGCGCTCCGCTCCGCGGCGGCGTGGCCTCGCGGCCCTCGGGCCTGCGGTGCACCGCCGGCCGCCCCGGCAGGCCCCCGGCGGCCCTCGGGGGCTCCCGGAGGCCCTCGGCGGCCCTCGGCGGCCGTCAGCAGCCCGCGGGGGCCAGCGACAGCCCTCGAAGACTCCCGGCGGCCCTTCGGCGGCCCTTCGGCGGCCGTCGGCGGCCTTCGGCGGCCATCGGCGGCCTTCGGCGGCCTTGGGTCTCAGGCATGCGTTGTCCTGATGTTAGGGGAACGAGCAATGACAGAAACATGAAAACTCGAAGGTCCGCGAGAGGATTTCTCGGATCGGCGCTTGACCCCCCTGGCGGCGCCTCCGGCACCGCCCCTGGCGCGCTCCGCGCGCCAGGGAAGGGGGTCCAGCGCCGATCCGAGAAATCCGCGCGGACCTAGCGATGTTCCGCAATCGGGGTCCCTGGAGGTCCCGATCTTTTCCCCATTCGTTGCTTAATGGCCCTGGGACCCGGGAGACGGCCCCAGGCGTTCGATGTCCTGGGGTCTGTGCCTCACGATTGTATCCCTGGACCTCTGCTGTGATTCGATCTGGCCGGAATTCCAAGGCGAAGAGGCCCAGAAATGCACGCACGCAGCCAGGCGCCCAAACGGTGCGTAGGCAAGACAAATTTTTACATCGAGCCACAGGGGACGGACATGCCACAGGCGTGCCGGCGCAAGAAGGAGGACAACGACGAGGGGGGGAGGAAGCGGACGCTGAAGCAGGAACAGGTGCGCCAAATACGTTGCCTGCGAGTCAGAGATGCGTCCTCTTTATTGGATAGTCTTGCTCTCCCATGTTGTTTTCCCCCATTGCCTCCCCATTCTGCTCATCCAAGTAGTTCTGACCCCCAGGGTGTACACAAGGTTAATCCCTCGCCGCTGGGAGAAGGTGGCCGTAGAACGAGGAAGCCCCGAGCAGGCAGCGGTTGGCCCTCGCAAAACCCGATAGATCCCCTGTGATAACTTTCTGTCCTTTGCTTAAAGACGAACAGTTGTCGAACTCGTGGAATTTTTTGAACAAAAAGCATAAACAGTTAACACAACGCGTTGTTTACATGTTTTAGAAGTTACCCCTGGTGTAACACACATTCTTACATCCGGGAAGCAACACCTTAACATGGGTCTCCTGCTTGACACGTGTTGAACAACAATAATATGTGTTGCAGTGTTGTTGCAGTTCTGTTTCGGCTTCATCAGAACCAAAACAAAACTGCAACACCTATGCTGCATGTTTGTTGCAGTTTTGTTTTGGTTTCATCAAAACCGAAACAACACTGCAACACCTGTGTTGCAGTTTTGTTGCAGCTTCTTTGCAGTGTTGGTGCAGTGCCGTTGCAGTTTTGGTGCAGTTTCGTTGCAGTGTTGTTGCGGCTTTCGCGTGGCAACAAGGGTGAATGAGGATAAAAGAGGGCGGTGAAGGAGGAGGAGGAGGAGGAGGAGGGGGAGGATGAGGAAGGAGGAGGGCGACGAGGAGAAGGGGGAGGGGAAGGAGATCGGCGAGCCGTTCCAGTTTGGGGCGTTGCGGCGTGATCCCCAAAGTCTTGAGGTCGAATTCTCCTCCTCCTCCTCCACCTCGTCCTGCTCCTGCTTCTCCTTCTTCTCCTCCTCCTCCTGATGTTACTGCTGTCCCTCCTCGCATTCCTCCTCCCTCATCCACCTCCTCGAGCTATTCCTCCTCCTCTTCCTCCTCCTCCTCCTCCTCCTCTCCCTCCTCCTCCCCCCTCCTCCGTGTTTCCCCCTCCTCCTGCCGCCGCAGGCTCAGGTCTTCCGATACCCCCTCCTCCCAGGCTCAGGTCCCGACGCCCGAAATGGGCACGGAAAGAATGGGTACGACGCCCAACAGCAGTTCTTGTTCTCTTTGAACAGGGCTCGCTGTCCGCGCCGCCGCGGCCTGCGTCCATTCGAGGCAGAAGGCCGCCCGCTCAACAGCGGCCGCTGTTGGTTTGGAACAACATTTGTTGTTGAGCATTGTACCCATTCTTTCCGTATCCATGTCTAGCCATGCCGACGAGCGCGAAGCCCGACGCCGAGATCACCGTCGGTTGCGCTGTACGTCTGTCTGTGTTCGTGGTTGAAGATGAGCGTGGGGGGGGGGGGGGCGGGATGCAGCGCGGGGGGAGGGGGCCTAGACGAGGGGGGGCGAGGAACAAGGGGAGCGGAGGAGAAAGAGGAGGACGAGGAGGAGGAGGAGAGGAGGAGGAAGAGGAGGAGAAGGAGGACGAGGAGGAGGAGGAGGACGAGGAGGGGGAGGGGGGGGAGGAGGAACGGATTCGTCCTCATCCTTTGGGCAATGAGCGTCGCCGATCCCAGCTGCGAAGGTAGCCGCGCCCCCCTGACGCAAAACATGTGTCTTGCAACGCACCGCCGGCCGCGCAGCTCAGATAGTCTAGGGTTCCTTGGCGCGTTGGGCGGTTCTGAAAATGCCTTTAGGCTCTTTGAAGGGATCCTGACAAAGGGCTCCGAAGGTAGTTTCGACGAGGGCTCTGGAGTCGAGGCCGTCCAGAAACAATGCGTGCATGCGTCAGCGTTTGGGGGGTGGGAGGGAGGTTTGGTGGTGGTGGTGGTGGGGGGGGGGGGGCGCTTCAGATATGGCGGCGGTCCTGACGGTGGTTGTGGCAAGGCCTGTGAAGGTTGAATCCAAACTGGCTCTGGAGGTACTTGCGGCGAGGGCTCTGACGATATGTAATTCGAGGCGCCTCTGGAACTATGCCCATGTGTATTTCCGAACCACTCCGCGCCCCCTCCTAATTCATCCCGTCTCGCCTGTTCCATCATGTATTCATTCACCTCTAAGGTGGAATATTCAGAACGCAAGGCGCTTCAGAGGGATTGAGAATATGATGATTGCTGCTGTAGGCGAAGCAACTCTGCTTTTTTTCTACAACGGCAATCATTAATGGGCGTGCGTGCCTACAACGACAATGCGCACGCGCGCCCAGAAATGGGCGCGCGCGCATTGACGTTGCGCGCGTGCTGGGGCGTCGTCTGCTTGTGTTTCTGGGGCCACATTTTGGCTCGGGCTAGTTCTGCTTAGGCTTGGGAAATAGAGTTTCGTTGACACGAAGGGTCGTCGCAAGGGTGGCACTCGCCAGAGGGCGCTGTCAACCGCGTCTGCGCCAGCCCTTGCTGCGCCAGGTCTCTCATCGGAAGAGTTGGTGGCATTGTGGTGTTGGCGGGGGCATCTCTCCGCAGATAGCGCAGAGGTTGGCGGCGGCAGCTCATCGAGACACGCTGAAGGTTCAAGAGCAAACGAAAGAGGTCATCATGAGTCAAATTCGTGAGTGCGTTCCCC